AATCATGATGTAGAGCAGCACTGGAGGGTTTGAATCAGAAATTAATCACTTGCAGAGCTCTAGTATTTGGATCTCTAAATTCACATTGCTGTGACAGGAGCTTAAAAAGAAAATGACTTCCAACTTCCAGATATTGGTCCAGTGAGCCTTTCTTGATTTTAAGTACACTGGTTGAAAGTGTAGGCTATGTCAGGCCCCTTCTTCTTTGTTTTATTTATTATTCTTTTGATTTTTAAGTATTTTATTGATTTTTTTAAGAACGAGAAGGAGGGAGGGAGAGATAAAAAAAATAAAATAAAACCCTCAATGGGATGTTCCCTGACCGGGAACCAAATGGGCAATCTTTCAACTGAGCCAGGGCCAGGCTGCTTCAGCCAGGGCCAGGCTGCTTCTTTTTGGACCAGCTTTCTGCTGTGGCTTTTTTCCCAAGTGAAAAACACATTGGGTCCAGTAAGAAGCAGTCTTGTCATTAAACCTCTAATGTGGTTGTGCCTGATGACAATGACTCTACACTCAGCTAGTCCAAACCTGCTGTGAAAAAGTATATCTGTGCTCTGTGTCCCCACTCACCCCAACCCTAGCTTCCAGTGCAGACGTTGAAACCTCGTGGCATCTTGCCCAGAAACACTGCTCAGAGCTGCTAGAGGATGAGCAAACATAGAATCCAGAGGCTGGTGTTTGGAGGCATTTTGGGGATTGGTATGAAATAGACACAGGGCTAAGAGGATGGAACTCTTGGAACCTTTTCCACTTTCATACCATACTCAAGCTTCTGCCCTTGCTCTATAAAGGCTTGGTCATCTGCCTTTTTATTATAGAATATTGATTTAATTACAGGACTAGGTTACTCAACCCCTGCACCCCGAATTTTATCAGATGTTTGATTTCTCTCCTATCTGCAGAGGCAGAGACAAGATAGCTGGTACCATTTTATGATAGTGATAAGGCAGAGAAAATTGAAGTAGTACAAATTGTTAGAGTGAAAAGTGAAGGCACTTTCATCGCTGTGGGTTGGGGCAGAAAGATCTGGGTAGGAAAGAGGAAGTGCTACAAACTAAGCCAGGGGTTTATTAATGCTTCAAGACTGAGTTCATTTGGTGGTGGGGAAAAGACTACCCTCTAAATGCCCCCACACAGATGTAAGATATTCTCTCTGACCATCCCAAATTACCAAGTTGCTTGGGGGCTGGACATTGTAGCATGCCTTTTTCTGAGCCAATGCCAATATTCTTCTCAAATTAAGCATCTCACAGAGCTTTGAGGAGGGGAAAGCCCCCTTGCCTTTCCCAAAGGAGGATGCCATGATCTTCTTCACAGGGTCTTCAGAAACTTCATTTAGATAAGATTGCTTGTTCTGGCACTTGAACGCTGATAATCCTTGGTCTGTGCCAGGAATAACCTTATGGCATCATTGATTTGCCCCCATATGGCCACACATCACTATATTGTTCTTTCTTGAAGTAACTATTTTCTTTGTCTTCTGATTATTTTTTGCAGGTGGTAAGTGATCCACTCTTTATTTGACCATTTGTGTTCATGGACAGACTCTACTAATACTCCTAAGTAGACATTTCTTCAACTCAATCATATTAAGCTACCTAGTTTTAGTCATATGTTTACTGTTAATTTCCTGCAAGGAACAGGGTGATATATGGCTTCCAGTTGAAGTTACACTTTTTGGAGGTGTCATTAGTGATAGTGCTTGGGGTGGGGGACAGTTCTGATCTGTGCAGAGAACTTTTCTAGAAAGTTTAATGTGGCAGGAAAGCTGAGACAGGAAGAACATAAGTATGATGCTGAAGATCTTTCAAGACAAAGACTAACCCTTTTCCTAAAAGAGGCTCTCTTGGGGAGAGGGAAGAAAGGAGGGAGAGGGAGATGTGAGAAAGAGAGAGAGAGAGAGAGAGAGAGAGAGAGAGAGAGGGGGGGGGGGGAGGGAGAATGAGGACTTTTAATGTTCTGAGTTAAAGGAGTTTGAAAAAGCCTACAAGTTTAGCATTGGTAGACAGGTCCAGTGAAGATGTGCTTTCCCCTCCTTTTGAGAGCCAGATAGGAGTGTTGAGAGACCACATGATTTAACAGAAGAGCTGTCTAAAAGGAGACCCACCTGTTGTCTATCCTGGCTCTCCTAGTTTTTTTTTTTATCCAGACTCTACCACTTAACAGCTGTGTGACCTCTTGGGAAGTTGATTAACCTCTTAGAACTCAATTTCCTCATTTGTAAAATGGAAATAACAATGTCTCAAAACTTCCTAGTCCAGTGGTCAGCAAACTCAGTCAACAGAGCCAACTATTAACAGTACAAAGATTGAAATTTCTTTTGAGAGCCAATTTTTTTAAAACTTCAACTATATAGGTAGGTACATTGTTATTAACTTAATTAGGGTACGTAGTATTTTGTGGAAGAGCCACACTCAAGGAGCCAAGGAGCTGCATGTGGCTCACTAGCTGCAGTTTGCCGACCTAGTCTGTTGTGAAGATAAAATAAGATAATGATGTATTTGGCATGCTGCTTGGCACAGGTTAGGCACTAAATCCATGATAACTGACTGTTATTGGGTGTAAACTATCTAAAAACTTTATCTACTTCCCCTCTACTTTTCCTCTAAACCATCCAACTCTCCATTCCCTTTGAATTTCAGTCATTTGAAGAGGAATTCTTTTTTCCCTGGAGTACTGACATTAATTAATGGTCTAACATTGGATTGGATAATCACATTGTGTCATCAACATCCCGATTATTAGATATAATTTGCAAGAAAAACAGGCCTGGAGTTCCTCCCAGACCTAGGACTGAAGCTGCAAATTGAAATCAGAGGGCTGCAGACCTTTAGACCAAAGCTGGCTGCAAGGGCAGCTCACTCTTCTGGTCTTGAAAGCCACAGCAGGCTCTTGTAATTGGGTTACCGCCTGGGATTCAGTAGGACTAATCCATCTCTATAATTTCTCCATCTGGTTTAATACCATTAACAAAACTGAATTAAGGAGCGGGTAGGGTTGAGTGGGACAAGGAGAAACGGATTTTCTGCACGGGAGTGGAGGCAGAGTCTCCACTGTCAGTCTGGAGCCTATGGTCTGATTAATGGATGGCTCTGAGTCCTGTTAGAGGCCAGCACAGTCCCCTCTGATGAGCATCAGGCTTCAGAAAAGGCCACCACACAAAGGGGCTTCCCTGGACGCCTCGTATTCCTCCTTTCATTTCTTTGGTTCTTTCTCCTCAGTCCTCCCCTTCTTGTACAATTTCTGAGCAGTTTTCCTTTTAGTTCGAACATTCTGGGACCTTACCTATGTTTCCACACTAACCTGTCCAAGTGACATGTACTTATCGCAGCATTAGCCACAGCCCCACCTCGCTCCATTTGCCTGGGGTTGGCCATCCCTGGGAGTGGGCACTCTTTAAGCCCAGTTTGCCAGCCAGAATGTCCAGCCCTAAGAGGAGGGGCCTGGATGTGGGAGTAGGGGTAGGAGGTGGCAGCCGCTGCTGTCAGTTTTGCTCGGTGCCCTAGTGACACCCAGATCCTAGCGCGCCCTTCCCACAGAGAGCCCGGCTCTCTCAACTTGGGCAGCTGGCCTTTGGAGGCGAGGAGTTGCTGGCTCTGGGACTGAGATTGCACAGCTCACTGCAGGCGGTGGCCAACGACAGAGTTCCCAAAGTGCAGGTGGCGACCAGCAAGGGCCTGGAGAGCTCTGAGAGGGGACCTGAGGTGCTGGGAGCAAAGTGGAACAGGGACGGAGGGACTGGAGGGGGGGAGATGCAGGGAGGCGCCAGGCTGGATCTCCGCTGCTGACAGTACAAGTTCGCTCCCGAAGCGCCCGTGGATCCTGCGTGCCCGGGAGGAGCCTGAGTACATCCAGCCTACTGGCTCGCCCAGTATCCCCAGGGCTGGCTGGGGTTTTGACAACCAGCGGCTGACGTCCGCGCGCCCCCGCCGAGCTCTCCCTTTACTACAGCGGGCGGGCGGCTGAGTGCGCCCCGCCCCCGCCGGCCCACGCCCCCTGCGCCCGCCCCCAAGTGCCCACACCTTGCCAGGGCTGGTGAAGACTCCTGGTGTTGAGTCGCGGCTCCGGGACCCCAGAGTTCTTTGGAAGAGGAGCGCAATCGATCGAGGGAGCGGGCGAGCTCCGAGGGGGTGTGGGTGTAGGGAGAGAGAGAGAGCAGGTAAGGGCCATCGGTTCCCTTTCTTCTGCCCGAGCCACTCGGGGAAGGCCCCCCTTTTGGCAAAATAATAGGATCCCGAGAATTGATTTCACCGAAAGAAAGATGCAACCCTCCCCTCCTGGTTCTCCGCGGGGAGAAGCTGCGCGGCTGGCTCTGCGGTGTAACAGGCTCACACGTTGCTGATCACACGTTCAAACATTTCCCTTTCGGAGAGGCTCGTTATTTTTAAATGTGTATTTTTGTCTTTGTGTTGATTTTTTTTTTTTTTCAACCTTCCCTGGGATTTCTGTTTGGTTTGAGTTGGCGGCTCGCAGCCGGCTGGGAAGCGGGGAGCGGGGGGCGGAAAGCAGCCCGCAGGCGCGCGGGGCAGCCCACCCAGGCAACTCCCCGCGCGGCCCGCGCCTGCCTGGAGGGCGGCCCGCGTGGAGCCCGGGAGGCTGGCGACAGAACCGGGGTGGCGAGTGCCTCTCTGGGCAGGCGGCCGGGCGGCCGGGCAGTTTGGAGGCCGCGATCGAGAGAGCGGAGGGAGCTCCGCACTGCTTTGTCTCCACTTCTGGAGACAGGCGAGCGGCTCCTCCTGTGGCCGGCAGCTGGGGCTCCAGGCGGCGGTGGCAGCTGCGGTGGCCAGGGCATCGGCTCCTCCTTCACCCCTTTTCCTTTCCTCCCACTCCTTCGCAGGCGGTGGCGGCGGCGGCGACGGCGGGGGAAAGCAGATCCCTCCCCGAGCCACACCGAGGGGAGCTCGCGATCGCGACTTGCCGCCTAAACACTCTCCCAAGTCCAGCCCGCTCGGCGAGGACTTCCGTCTCCTGGGTGTACGGTGTCAAGCAAGCTGGGATCTATGAGTGGAAAGGTGACCAAGCCCAAAGAAGAGAAAGATGCTTCTAAGGGTAAGCCCGCCAGCCGAGTTCGCCTGTTTTCTTTCCCTTCCTTTCCCCTTGCTCCCCTCGAGTCGGGTGCGCTCCGCCCTTCGCGACTCCTGGCCTCTTTCCAGGAGTGTAAGGTGCCCATGACCTCTGTGAACCCGGGCAAGAGAGGGGAAACGAGGGCCGCTGTGTTGGGGGGACCTGGGTTTGCACCACTTTCCCTCCTTTCTCGTGGAACTGTCGCCCTGCGAATGCCTCTAGCCTCGTCTACTCCCCCTCTGGACGCGCGGTGGTGGCGCTGCGGGCAGTCAAAGCTGCTGCAACCCGGAGAGCCGGGCACAGCGCTGCCTGTTACCCGCTGTCCGCCTGTATGTGCGAGTGCATCTGTGTGCATGTGTGCTGCGAGGGTGCAACATAGTGACATACTCAGGGATCTGCCCCGCTGTCAGAACACAAGCTTGGATCCACCTTCAACTCCCCTCTCCCCGCCCCCAATGCAAACAAAGAGCCCGGCCAAGACGCAAAACCCTACCCCCCTAACCCCAAACACACTCCTTTCCTCCTCACAACCCCTACTCCCTAACTCTCTGGCCCCTTCCCCAGAAGACGGGAGCCTGTAACCTTCCCCATGCCGCATGCAAAAGTGAGCATCACTGGTGCCCAGGCGCCGCCCGCTCTGCGCCTAAGCAGCGCAGCCTCACCAATCCCTGGGAGAACAAAGGCTGTTGTCCCCTTGCCACTGATGCTCAGTGGGAGCGAGCCTCAGCTGAGGAGAGTCTCCTCCCTCTGCTCTCCAGGTCCCTGGCCTTGGTGCCTGGCTGCTGGCCCCCTGTGTGTGTGTGCGCGCGCGCGCGCACCCGTCTCTGCCTGGGGCCTCACATCAGAGGGCTGGGGGGAGGGAGGGGCGCAGAGGAGTAGGGCTCAAGCTGGGGAGAATTCAGGAAAAGGAAGAGGTGTCCCCGCTGGCCCCCATAGGTTGGTCCTAGCCATTGTCTTGCTGAGGACCTGGCTTAGTTCGGGCAGCAAAGTAGAGGCAGCATCGCACAGAGGCAGGTGTGGTAGACCAGTTGGGGGGAAAGGCAGGTGCCTTAAAGGTGCAAGTGTCCTCAGAGCAGACGCTGGAGTGGGCTGGATCTGCCCGAGCCTCATGGACCCACACGAGTTCATGCTACAAAAGTGGAGATGCAACTGGGCGGGAGGGGGGTAGTTTTCCTTTATGGTGGCCCCCATTCCTCTCAGCCCTGGGGTCCCCTTCCCTCCCACTCTTTTTCCTGTTCCTTTTTTCTCATCTCCTTCTTGCCTCTCCCCATCTCTCAGAGCTTTCTTTCCTGGAGATTCTAGGGCAGCCTCAGCCCTCCCCCGCGGAAAAGTTGTCAGTCTTCAGCTCAGGGCCTTTATCCATGTTTCTAAAAGGAGCCCATTATCTTCCAAGGAGGCAAAGCATTGACTAAAGGCTAGGGAAATTTGTGATGGGTTTTCAATCTGTGGTTCAAAGGATCAGTGTTGCTACCAACCAACCCCTCAAACCCTCTCATACCCACTGGCTATTGAGGCTTACAAGTTAATTGAAATAACCACTTGGAAAGTAGAACTGTTATACATTTCCAGTGCTTTTCCTAATCCTATTGTATCTTAATTATCGGGTATTCATATGCTAAGAGGACATAACTTCAGGGTTTTTTAAAAAATGTTTTGTTTTTCCACTGAGGGCCCAGAAAGGTAAATACAATAGAAGATCTAGGCAAGAGATTCCCCTTATGAATCTGGGAGTATTTGAAGTTTGTTTCTTGGAACTTTGGTTCCCAATTTCCATCAGGTGAAACAAAGCTTTATTTCAAGCTGCCTTTGGGAGGATCTGAAAACCAAATTCATTCACAGGAAGTGAATTGGTGTTTTAGGAATATAATTTACAATTGTCCAGAAATGATTAAGCCTGTGAACATTTCAGCAAGTTTCTGTAGCTCAATAGTGAAAATTTTACTAGGCATATGTCATAACATTTTCTTATGTTGACTCACCACATTTGAAATAGAATATCTCTTTGTAGGAGTTGTGTAATTAGCATTTGGAATTATGGTTGCAATTAGAATAAAATTAAAGTATTTTTACAAGGTGACTTTTAAGAAATTTACTTTCCTGAGGAGAAGGGAATCTTATGGCTGTCAAGAGCAGGAGTCCTTTTCCTGCCTTTCACTTGGTTGTTTAATTTAGAGCATTTTCAAAATAATGAATGCCTAATGGTCATTAGTATTTCTCCCTTTCAACTATGTTAAAGGTCTTATTGATTAAATTTTAAACATAACTTTTTATGTTAAAGATGAAGGATACCAAGTCTGCTGATATTTTTAATCAGTAAAATGTATTGACCATATTCATGAACAGGTTTGATTATTTATAAATTTCCTATATATAGGTAATTTAAAAATTTAAACTAGGAGACTCATGAGCACACTTAGCAACATAGCAAGATATAGGATTGATTTGCCCAAACTGGTTTGGCTCAGTGGATGGAGCGTCAGCCTTCGGACTAAAGGGTCCCAGGTTCGATTCTGGTCAAGGGCATGTACCTTGGTTGTGGGCACATCCCCAGTAGGGGGTGTGCAGGAGGCAGCTGATCGATGTTTCTCTCTCATCAATGTTTCTAACTCTCTATCCCTCTCTCTTCCTCTCTGTAAAAAATCAATAAAATATATTTTTTTAAAAAGATATAGGATTGAACATTTAATAGATACTTAAAATATCTGCATATCTAATTTTGAACAAAGGTGTGACAAATGATTGAATCAAGTCAAATAATTTAGTAACAGTTTGAATGAATTTCATAATCTGTTTTTAATACCCTACTGCTTGTTTACATTCAGCCTCCTACTCTGTCATTTGGGGTTCATGTCAACAGCCTATCATAACTACATAGATGATTATCATACAGTACAGTGTTTCTAAAATTTTAAAAGCAAAGGTAGTGCTTTTAATTTATGCTGCTTAGTGAAATATGCCCTCAGAGAATATAAATTGCCGATTGTCTTTTTAAATGATGTTTTCTTTAACTAAGTGGAGGTTAAGGCTAATGATGGACAACATTATTTTGGATAAGCTTTTCAGTTATGTAGCCAGCCAAGATAGACTACCCTCTTTGGCAGGGTGGGAGGCATCTTGATTTTTTGAAACTGTTATAATAAGCCCTTGCACATCAAATCATCTTTTGTGTATCTATTTATGATTTGCATAAACTTCTAAAATTGATTTTAGAGAGAAACATCTACTTGATTTTTTATTCCACATATTTATGCATTCTTGGTTGATTCTTGTATGTGCCCTGACCAAGGATTAGACCTGTAAACTTGGCATATCTGGAGGATGTTCTAACCAACTGGGCTACCAGGTCAGGGCCTAGGGATTACATAAACATTGGAATTGGTAGATATGTATGTACTTTGGGGCACTCAGCTTCTGCACAAGAGGACCTATTTCCATTTCAGGGAAGAACAAAGCGTAAGATTTGTTTTTTCAAGCAGATATATTTGCTTAGCTTTGACTCAACTTCTTTACCTCATCATATTAGATCTTTTCAGCAGTTCTTTCTTGGAAAAGCACTCAGTTAAGGCTGGACCTGGTTTACTACAACTATTTTCCTGTGGCATCCAGGAAATCTGTAGTTGCTACAGGTAAAATCAAATAATTTCTGGATTGAGTAAAATTGCTAGACAATTATAGACTTCAAAACTATTGTTTGGTTAGTATGTAGCTACCTGTTCAGAGTTGAGTGTGTTTTTTTGATAACCCTTTCCCTTGTGCTTAGCCAGAGAGGTATCATATTTATGCAACTTTCCAGGTAGAGAGGAATGTGGTTTCTCTATGGGACTGCTGGTACCAGCATCATGCTGGGTGTATGCTTGCTGGCTGCTGGGAAGTGCAGGACAATTCCTGGCATAGACCAAGAACTCAGGCACTTGCACAGCTGTTGCCACATGAATTTATGGGCCCAGCTCATTTTCTGCTCACTTCTTGGCCTTTTCCAATGGCCTCTCTAACCATACCTAAGAAGGACAGGTCATGTGGTCAGAATATCACTACTTGAACATTGAATGCCATTCCAAAAAATCATTTTGGTCTTGGGGATTACTGTAATAGCACCAAGCAAGTGGCTTTCTCAGGCTTGTGCCTGGCAAAGCAGGAGTTTAGAGGTGTTTTAACTACAAGAAATCATGACATTGGTAACCTCTTACTAAAACCCAACAATCGTAATCTACCCATTACTCATGCAGGAACTTATTTTTTTCCCCTTGTGAATAAATCATCAAGGACCAGTGTTTTTTATGGGATTTTATAAGCCCAGTATTTTCTTCTGAGCTGAAGACTGTGATTGCAGTCTTGGTGAGTGGTGTGGTCAGGGAGATTTCTAATTGGAAATGTTAAATGTGTTCTTGGGGATAGGTACAGAAGATGTGTGCACAGTGCCCCCTAATCGTCTTCATTATTATTTCTAGTGGTGTGCAGCTTCTTTATTCAGAGGCTGAAGTGAAAAAGGAGAGCATGTTGGGACATACGTTAGCAGTACTGTATCCTCTACCTTACTTAGTACTGCTTCCTCTAAGTCCCTTTCAAATCATGAAAAGGGATTAGGATGCATACTCAAGCTGGAGATATAGGTGAGGTTGGGGCAGGAATGGATGCTGTGTTGTGAATGGATGTCATATTGAGGCCTGAGTGAGAAAAAGTAAATGAGCAGTGGGGTGAAGGAAAGGGTTGAGATTCATGCCTAGGGCAGGGAAATGTATGATGGCCTTGAGAACAGGATCAGAACTGGGTAGAGAATTGGAATCAGAGTTTGGGTGATAAGTTGGAGGCCTGCTTTTCAAGGCAGTGACTAGGGAGATGAAACTGTTAATATTCCAGGTCTCTTTGCAGCTGTACTGTCTTATGTTCAAATCAATTCCTCATTCTGAGAATTATAATCAACACACAACAACCAGAATGAGTTGCAGCTCTTCAAATATATATAGTAAAATGGATTTTTAGTGCCT